GCAATTTAATTTCCTGTCTCTTTAAGAAGCTTCTGCTCTTTCTGACTGTCACTGACATAGCGGTAGCTGCCATTAACTTTGTCCTCTTTGTTTTCCATCCGTCCATCTTTGTTCCTGCAGAATCCCAGTGGTGAGATCGGGGTTCATCCTGATTTGGTTTTTCTTTCCATAGATCGTGCCTCTGGCCAGTGCTTCTGTGTTTAGCAGAGTTTCTGTTCTGGACAAAGACACTGAAGAACCTGTTGCTCCCTTTGGTTTGTTGAATCACTTGTTTTCTTTGTCATAGAAAGTACTCCTGGTTCCAGTTCTTCTACCTGCTTTTCTCTTTCTCATCCTCCAGCTAGTTGTGGCTCATACTGAACATGAGTTTGTTAAAAGCTGGTGGTTGCTCTCCACTGTCACCACATGCTTGACTCAGAATGAGGGATTGCTGCAAAGTTAATAACTGGATGCGTTTCACTTCAGATCTTTGAATGCATTGTTTGATCTACTGCATCTGGTCCTGTGTTATACAGTGAGAATCTGTCTCACTGTATGAGGAAATGCACTTATTTGTCTTGTAAAGTCCCTTAACATGTTATATGTTGTTGCCCCAATGCTGAACTGAACTAAACTGAATATTTTATATTTAATTAGATTCTGTTTGTGAATCTTGGTATCTCTGAATTCATAAAAATTTGATTACTGATCTGAAAATCGATTGAAGAGCAGCTAGAGCAGGGGTGAGCAATCCTGGTCCTGCAGGGCCAGTGTCCTGTCTCCCTGATCCAACACACTTGAATCCAACAGCTGAATCACTTCCTAAGTGCAGTCAAGTTATCCAGAGTCCTGCTAACGACCTCATTATTTGACGCAGGTGTGTTGAAGTTGAGATGCACCTAAAAGTTGCAGGACACCGGCCCTCGAGGCCTGGAGTTGCCCACCCCTGAGCTAGAGTCCAGAAAAGCTGAAAGACCTTGAGAAACCGTGAATAATCCAAATGAAAGATTTCAAAAAGGTCTGAAACCTTAGAGACAAAGTTTGAAGGATATTCAAATAAATTTGATTCAAAAATACTTTATTTATCCCAAAAGATGAAGTTATGTTGTCATAATTCATGTCATCCATGCATCATGTATCATTGTGGATGGTAATCTCCAGAAGTAGCCAGTCTCACAATGAACCTGAAGGGTCAAAGTTCACTTCATCCTTCAGCTGAAACCAATGAAACATTTAATGTTACTGAGACGTTGACATTTACTGCAACGTCCACAGGAGGGCAGAACCATCCATTAGGTTACAAATTGAACGAATGTAAAAATTTGGCTTTCTTTAACAAAGAGCAAAGTGTTCTTCATTAAACTGATCTGCAGCCTGATAAAACGTTTGTTTTAAAGTTAGAATTTAGATCAGTGTAAATAGCTGCAGTAAGAGGATGCAGTGTAGCAGGAAGTATTGTATGACTGTATAATTATCCAGCTGAAGAAAATGTTTCTTTATGCTTATCTATCTGATCTGTGTGTGATACTGATCTGTACGGGTCGGTCCATCTCCATCTCTTATCGATGAGTTAAGTGATGAAAGCCTGGATTGGAAACAGAGATCTGAGTTTCTATCAGAGTAAATAAGGATGTGGTTAGTCTCATTAAATGCCAGACCTGATGCCAGAGAAAGGAAGAACACAAAGAGCTGCTGAGACATGTGTTTTTAGTTGCAACCTTACTCCCCTCGTTTGTCTTCAGAGATGACTCAGGAACAAGAAGCCAGAAGGTTTGAGCCTCAGCACTGATCCGGGATCAGCTTGGTCTTAAAATAAAGCACCTTGCTTAAGAATGACCCAAACCGGCGACTGCAGAAAAGAACCGACTGAGTCCCAATCAGTACTGCAGGAGAACCACAGTTCTGGTTCTGTTGGACCTCAGTGTTGACCATGACATTTTACTGAAGCGACTGCAGAGCTGGATCGGACTATCCGGTCCAGTACTGGACCGGTTCCAGTCTGACCTAGTGATCAGGGATTTCTTTGTGTGTAGCTTCTCATCGGAACAGGCAGAAGTCACATGTGGGGATCATCAAAGTTCAGTTTCCCTCCTAATATCTACATGCTACCACTAGCTCAGGTTATAACAGCAAAGATTAGTTACCATGGTTACGCAGACGATACACAGCTCTACAACACGATGTCGACAGGTGACACTGAACCGTCCAATCACTGACCAGATTCTAGAACAATAACTGTGTGGGCGTGACAAAACTTTCTCCAGATCAAGTTATCTCTGGGCCTAAAGAGAAACAATCTAGAGTTAAAGATCTAGAGTCAAGACACAGCTTCAGTTATTCCAGCTGGAAACTAGAAGCTGAACTCTGACCTGAGCCTTCAGAGTCACATAAAGACAGTTACAAAGTCGGCCTTCTATCATGATTAGAGGATTAATGTCCCAGCAAGATCTAGAGAAACTCATCCAAGTGTTACACTGGCTCACTGTAGATAAAAAAATACACTTTAAAATAGTTTTGTTAGTTTATGAATCACTGAACAGCTTCTTAGCACCAATAAGGACCTGCTGTTGCTGTATCAACCTTCCAGACCTCTCAGGTCTTCTGGTTCTGGTTCTGCTCTGCATCCCCAGAACCAGAAGAAAACCTGGAAAAGCAGCAATCAGCTTCTATGTACCACAAATCTGAAGCAAACTCCCAGAAAACCGCAAAACAGCTGAAATAATGAGTTCCTTTAAATCAAGGCTAAAACCTCATCTAGAGTTGCCTTTGATTGGTAGTAAATTGAACACTGATCAACATATTTGATGTGTATTTGCTTGATGATTTTGATGATGGCATTTGACAAAATCTAAAGTTTATTGCTTGTTTCATAATTGGTTATTGTTTGACATTTTTCTGATGTAAATCACTTTGAACTGCCTTGTTGCTGAAATGTGCCATAACTGACTTAAAGCGCCGTCTGCGGAAAAGAAACGACTGAGTCTGTGTTCCTGATGAGCTCATCCATCTCTCAGCGACCAGCAGAGAAACTCCGACATGCAGATGAGGTGAGAGACGGCTCAGACTCTTCGTACCTGATGAGTCACTCTGAGTCTTAGACGTCTTGGAGGCGACAGGGAGGGAAGTTCCCGGGGAGAAACTTCAGTCAAACGCGGACACTGCCGTCCCTTGTTTCCACAAATGAAATCCAAGATCACAGTGAGCAGAGATGTGATTGGGACTCTTCCCTGTTTTGGTTTTTCTGATTTGTCGTCCACCAGCCGGGGTGACGGTTCCGTCAGTTAGAGGTCAGCTGACAGCTAGAAGTGTGCGGTGAGGGTAATTTTATCCCCCCCGGCCTGTGAAAGCAGTTATTTGATTTACAGACAGAATTGGACACAAGGAGCTGTTGTTTTGCTGTGGTTGTTGTCTTATCATGCAGAGAATCAGTTTACCTGGCGGGGACAGAGTCCAATTCACCAAACAGCTGATGGCAACGAAGAGTGGCCTATTACCATACGCGAACAAGGATCCAGTGATGTTGGTGAAAGGTAGCATGTAATTCAATGTTGGCTGGGATGTCATGCGGTGCAGAGAGTGGAGCATCTGTTTTAGGTATAAACACGGAGACGGCTGCCATGTTACAGATAATGTTCCTGTTGTTTGTTGCTGATTAGTTGATTTATTCGCCCGTAGCATTTGGGGGAAAATCCCTCATTAATGGACAGGAGGGGAAGTGCTGATGTAGGACTTTCACATCCTGCTGAATCACTAAACAACTGCATATGGTGCACAAACACAGTAAAGTAGCATAAATATTCTGGGATGTTCAACAACTCTATCCAGATTTTATAACAGAGCTGCTGGAAACGCTGACAATCTAATGTGATGTTTTCAACTCAGTTGCTTTAATCGTTTGTCTTTCTCTTACTAGATTTATATTTAGTTTGCATTTCTCCTACCCAGTTTCTATGAGAGTACTAAATATTAGTTATATATTAAAACTAATTTCAATACAGATGGAAAAAACACCTCATCCTAACGCTAAAACCTTTTAGTGAAAAATGTGAAGTTTTTTTTTAAATTGCCATGTTTCCATTAAGCAAATTTATTTTCATAATTCAAATTAGTGCAATTATGTGGTCAACAGAATGGTTTTGGGATAAATATTTGGAACATTATTGTGACTTTTCATTCTCCTTCTCTGTACAACACAACAAAATTATTTACAGCTAATTTACATCTGATTTAAGGTACTAATAGGGTGATTTTATCATTCTGCTCTTTTTTAAAGTATATAAACAATATTTATATTCAGCATAACCAGAACAGTGATGATCCAGAAAAACTGTTTGAATTGATCCTGTTTTAAGAGGATGCACTGAATTTATATCAGTAGAAAAACCTGAATAGCAGCTATCAGAGCGTAACTCACACAGATGTGAATAATTGTGCAGCTTTTCTAATGTCTTGGTGAGCAGATGTTGTGGGGGAACCTTAGTGCTGAAAAACAGACAGCAGACAATGGAAACACTGAGTGTGAATGACTTCAGGGTTTCCTACCAGTCGGCCTGAAAGCTGAACTTCCAGCTCATAACAGTCGTCACCTGAGTTACCAGCTGAGTAACTGCTCTGGACCCCGGCTGTAAACGTGACTCAGCACCAAGCCGGGTGGGCTCCGCTGGGACAGAAAGCACCGACACCGGGACAAACCTCTCATTGCGATTCCATCACGGCTCCCCAGCTGATGCTTTGCTCACACAATAAACTCAAATGTTCCGTAGCAGCGATGCGTTCCTTGGATGTTCCTGTCTGCATTACCTAAAGCAGATCCACTAAAATGCCGTGAAAAAAGCCAAGAACAAACAGAGATGGGTTTGATTTTTTTCCAGATTTCTGTCCTGTTATTTTTTCACTTGCCTCTGTTTTTAAAGTATTGAATTCACTGACACATAATTGAATTAAGACTTCATAGTTTATTCTTTTCTCTGTTAAAGAAAGTTTTTGAAAAGATGGCTGCTTATTAAACCACTGAAGTTTTATGTTTTAGTACTTGTGTGCATTAAATCCCATTCCAAAGTGTAAACCCTTAGACTTTGAGTATCTTAATGATGCTTCACTTCACTGAATGGCTTAGCACCAAAATACATTAACATACATTAGACATTAAGTAATGCTGTATCAACCCTCCAGACCGCTCAGGTCTTCTGATTCTGTTCTGCATCCCCAGAACCAGAACCAAACTTGGAGAAGCAGCATTCAACTTCTGTGCTTCTCTAATCTGGAACAAGCTTCCAGAAAACTGAAAAACGGCCGAAACACTGACTTTCTTTAAACCCACCTGCTTAGAGCCAGTTAAGAATAACTTTTCATTATTTCTCCTCATTCTATCTCTGATGTAATGCTTCTTTTTACTTTGTTTCAAGTAAAATCTTTAGACGCCTCTTCTTTTAGAGATGTGTTTCTGTGTTCGCCAGCTGTTTCTGTGTGAATGAGTGTGTAAGGTGTGATTGTGTGAGAAGATGGATTGCATGGGAATTCAGGATGTGCAGTAAAGAGTGACATCAGCCGGTCCCGTGGAGACGCTTGGATAAACACACAGCTAAAAGGAGGGAGAGTCAAGTTGCACCATGAGGTATTGGTAAGAGAAAGGAGGAGAGAAAAGCTTTGTGGAAGCAT